TTATGGCCCCATTATCACTAAAAAGTATTATCTTCAAAGCTTTTAGCCCTTTACTTTAGTATTTTATTCAAAAATTAGAATTAAAAAAAAGGCAAATGGCTTTCTCGAATCATACTTTTCTTGCTTTCACTTTATCGATTGACAGATTATTAATTTGCATATCAAATTTACAAACAAATTGTTTTTATTTAACTAATTTTAATATTTTATTGATAAACATTTTTTTTTACCTTTTCTGTTTACTTAATTGGAAAATGGAATTATAAATAACGGAAAATACTACCATAAAGAATGGAGGGCGATTAATTAATTGAAACTTCAAAATGGGAGGTATCTAAGATTTAACAAAATACGAGGTAATAGCATTCACCTACAACCAAAAGCAAATTCCACTCATTAATTATATAATATATGTATGTGTGTGTGTTTTCTTCAAATATTAAAGATTTTTTTTGGATATAATAAATTTCAAACTTACATTTTTTTTCTATAGAAAAGACAAAGTAAGACATCAAATATTTATTTCTTGCGATGGGTTTTATTAAAGTAACAAGCAATGCATCCTAAAAGTTACCGTATCATTAAATGGGACATGACATATAAATTATTATATAATTCTTTTTATATATACAAAATCATATAATGCGACATAAAATAAGTTATTTTAGTAATTTAATAAATGGTTGTTATTTTTAGAAGTCTAAAGTTCGAGTATCATAGATTATAAGGGTATTGAGTTTTCATTGTTAAATTATTGAGAATTTTTATATCAAATATTAGATTAAAAAAAATTAAAACATATAATGTGTACTCATTGAGTGGTTTCAATGGTTAAGAGAGTATTGTTCTCTCTTGAAGACATGGATTTAAGTAGTATAGGGTGTGTGTTGTCCGTGTTAAGTAAGATTATAAACAGATATTACTTTATAATTACCTCAAATTATTCAAGAAAAAATCATATAATGTATATTAGTATTATTATTTTTAAATAATTTGTTGATTACAATACAATATATGTTTATAATCTTTTAACCATCGATAACACATATCTTTTAGATAATATTGTTTGAATCCGGGACATATAGAGATAACAACACTCCCTTCAACTATTGAGGTCTCTCAATAAATTTTAGTATTTAATACACGCTTGTGCATATAAATTATATTGACATTCGAATGAAAACAATAAAATTATTGAGAAAATTATTCTAAAATCTGATAAAATGTCTTGTAAGGGAAATTACATATACTTGTTATTCTTGATGATGTACTATAATGATTTAGATACAATACATATCAATATATATATGATTTTGCATAGATAACCTAAAGGAAGAACACAAACATATCTAGAATTAGATGCATAGATATCATTATACATAGAAACAGAAGGATACTAATAAATACCAAACAGACAATGTGGTATACAAAGCTGTCAAACGGAGTTGAAATCAATGACTATTCATCGGCTAGCTGACCTTTACAATCATAAGTGTCTCTACATTTAAGCTGTTTTCCTTTGCCCTTGCCCTTTCCTTTGTCTCTGGCGAGACACTTGGAATACGGAATGCAAGGCTTTTGCACTATTGGATGTTTGCCGTCAAGCGCGTTGGGAGTTACCGGGTTGACGTTATCCTGCTGGAGGATTCTGATAACGTTAGACTCCGTCATCGAGAAATCCATCTCCCACTCCAATTCTTCGGTGATTCGGCAGTCGTTGAGGAGGCCATTGCAACCGTAAGTGGCGTTGCTCTTCCGTAGTAGGGAGGAGTCTCCGACGGTAAACGGTTTCAGGAGAATTATCATCATTATCACTGACGCCAGACATAACTGATGAAACCCCATTCTTTTCGGTTCTGTTTATCCCCTACGGCTGCTCACTTTGCGACTCAGCATGGAATATGAACTGCCCTGCCAGTCCCACTTTATAGAGGAGGGGGAGAAATCAATTAACTACGGAAATTTCAATTAATTAACTTATATATATATTATTTAAACTCTAGATTAGATAATCTAAGATAAATTTATGTTTCAAGAATCAAAAAATAAAATAATGTGAATGAAATATAGTAAATAAATACATAAATAAAAGAACTCAAGAAGTAGGTAATAATATAATAAATTTTTTGTGTTTATGTGTCATAATCTCACATACTTAAAGAATATTATTTCACTATTATAAAATAAATAAGTAATTTTCTTCGATATGTGTATAATTAATTTCTTAAAGAATTAGAATAAAATACATAATTATTATTTTGTAGTTAAAAGATATTGAATTACAATGAGATATTTCTAAGAATTTTTAATTGTCATGAGTCATGAAGCACTTTACTTTTCTGTAGTTTGGCTCCACAAAAATAAAGAAGGGAATAAGCTTTAGCTTTATAAGTACTTGTCTTTTGTCTTCCTCACACAAAATAAAATCAATCATTATATGTATATATATGATCGTTAGTGTCCGCTTATATAATATAAATTAAAAACGTACACTAATTAAAACTATTGAATAAATATAAATTGATGATTTAAATCACTTTTTCCGCATAAAAATCTCATCATGTTCAACTTTTATCTTAATTATCAATTTATACTTTTTTAATAATTCTAAATAAGTGCTAAAATATAAAATAAATCAAAGTGAAAAAACAAGTGCTAAAGTATATGATTAGGAAGCAAGTGTAAATAAAAGCAAAAGCAAAAGCAAAAGCAAGGCGTGTGAAACACATTATATATAGAATAATCAGTGTAAAGAAATAAGTGGTAGAGGAAGATGCTTATAGTCTTGGTCTTTGTTAATTTCATAATTTGTACTATTCCGTTAAATCATGTGTTTAAATTTTATCGAATGTAAACATTACTGTTTATGCAAATGTATTAGAGATTTGTGAAATCATGATTGATTTTATTATATATATCGATGAATAATGGAAGAACCTTATTATGATCTAGTGAAGTAAAGGACATTTCAACGATTGCAAGTAATGAATCTTTATATATATATACTTCTTATTTTCCATATCTATTTTACGAATAGGTTCAGGATTCTTTTTACAATATTATTTTTAAAGTTTGATTTTTAAAATAGTTTTAAAGCTTAAGTTCAAATTCTCTTTTTAGAATATAATATATCTATTAAAATATAACAAGTTATATGAAAATTTTACTAGTAAAATACTAGGTTATAAATTTCAAAGACAAATAAAATTTTGTCGTCTTTTGCTCCTAAAAATAATATTTTTTGTTTAATTTCGTCGGCTTTGAGTGGATTCCATAAAAAATCAACTCTAAGAGAATAAAGAAAAATAAAATGCGAATATTTTAGGATCGATTTTATCATAGAGAATGATTGGTGAACGACTATTGACAACGAACGAAAAAGTGCAATGTCAAAAAGTAAACATTTGAAAAGATAAGTGTTAAAATCAACACACTCTTAAAGTTCAATGCCTAAAATGATATCGTTTTAGGCACCAAACATCGTTGCCAAACGACGTCGTTTTGTCCCCTATCATCACAGTGGCAAAAAGACATGTCTTCATCACTATGTTGTTAAAATTTAATGATCGGATGTCATAATTGAAGTAAAAACAAAAAATTTGTGTTATAATTAGAGAAATTATAAGTTTAGTGGTATAAACAATATAGTTAATTACATCACAGGTCCCAAAACTATAACTCTAATTATATCATATATCCCCAAACTATGACCTCACTTTAAATTAGTCCTTAAACTTTTGAATATTCTAATTTCATCCCCATACAATGACTCTCATTCTAAACTAGTCCTTAAAATTTTGAATGTTCTAATTTCATCCCTAAACTAGACCATCTATCTAAATTGGTCTCCAAACTTTTGAATATTTCAATTTCATCATTGAATTAATCCAAATATGTAATTATTTCAACCATAGTTTAACATAAATTTTGTTTTTTTCAAACATATAATAACATAACTTGGCCCAACGATTTTATTAACAATGGATGTGATTAGTATAAATGTATATTTTGTGATGAAATTGGAATGTTAAAAAATTTTGGGGACCAATTTAGAATGAAGGTCATTGTTTGGGGATGAAATTGAAATTTTCAAAATTTTGAAGACTATTTTAGAATGATAGTCATAGTTTAGGGATGGAATTAAAATATTTAAAAGGCTAGGGACCAATATAAAATAAGGGTCATACTTTGAGAACATGTGATGCAATTAATTCTAAACAATACATTACTTAAAATTTAGTGATATTTGATATAATTATCTAATTAAAAATTAAAAGTTATATAATAATAAATTATAAATATAAAAAACTAAAATTTATTTGTTTTAATAAATTATTAAAAATAAAACATTTTCATCGAAAAAAATTATTTTTTGTTTATTAGTAGCATGAGTCTATTAATTCTTTAAATATGTTTTTAATGAAATTGTCAATGAAATTTAAATTCTCTTTCAATTTTCTACGTCAAATTAATACTTATGTTTGAAAAATAATAATAAAATGTAAATTAAAAAATCAAAACAAACATTTTAACCAATTCGAAGGCCAAAAATCAAATTTAGGCAATTTCAAATTGTGATTTTTCCAATGTAATGTATATGTTTTGAATTCGTTTCAACAATTTGAATAAATAAAAGGGAAAATTAATTAAAAATGAAAAATATTAGTGTTAAATGGCAAATTATGATTATATGCCTAATAAGCGTTAATAGTGAGAAATAAGAATGGTAAAAGGACATTCCTTTTATAAAAGGTTCACCTGCTCAGTTTTACAATCTACTTTCTATTCGCTATCCTTACACCATTTTTATGATTTGTTATAGGGCTAATTTAGTAATTTGAAGTACCCCAATTCAACAATTTCGTACGTGGCTTTCCATTTGCAGCGAGTGCAAATGACAAAACAGACACCCGAGAAGCTTAATTCGGAAGCGTGTTTTATTTCTTAATTAAGAATTAGAGCCGTAAATCAAAATCTTTCCCTCGCTTTCTTGAATTTCAAAATTCAAAAAACGACACAACGACTCTCCTTCCTTCTTCTCCATTTTTTTGTTAAATCAGCGATTGTTAATTCTGGAAAAATAATCCAAAAACCAAAAAATCTAATAAACCAAATGGTATGCGGTTTTCTGAATCAAGAGTTAGGGTTAGGGACAATCACGAGATCAGCGGTGAGATTTCTTGATCAGACGGTGTGCAGAGCTATGGGGTGTTTCTTCCAATGCTTTGGCGTCAGAAACGATCGTTCCCGCCTTCATCTCGTCTCTTCCTTGTCCAAATCCACCGCAAGTTCTACTTTTTCACTTTCTTTTTTCCAGTTTTCTCATACCTGCGTTTGGTTTATCGGAAAATTCAGTTCAAGAAACATTTTCTTTCTCCTCTTTATATTTTTCGTTTTTTCTGGTCAGGATCATGCAGTTTCTCGAGATCGCCTGTCATCTCTCTTTGTTGATGGTGGTAAGTATATCTATACACAATTTCTCTAGCTTATGACTCGAGTTAATTAATTTCAATATTATTTTTTTCCTTTTCTTAAACTTAATTTTCGATTGCTTTTTATTGAATCATTATCTAATTGTTGTTTTGGTTTTAAAAGAGAAACGGAAATCTTCATCCAACGATTTGGATTCTCCACAAATTGATAAACGTCTCATTGATGAGGTATTCTCATCGAGCAATTTGATTTAGATTGATTGTTATGTATGTTCAATGCGAATCAATTAAAACTATTTAGCTTCCCGTAGGCAAAATTCCTCAAAGCTTGTGGCACGATACCAGAGACTCCGGTTGAAATTCGCAAAGCATGTCAGAAGTTTAAACAGTCCCCACCTTGTGGTGTAGAATCAGAGACTTCTAAATTCCGTTCTTGGCTTCCAAACACACCCATTGATAAGTTTAAGTTGGATAAGCAATCTGATCACCCGCCTACTCCAAATAAACTTTTCGAGGAGTTGGAAAGGTCAGATTCTCCGGTGAACACTCCTAGCAGGTTATCAGTTTTAACTTCTGACCTTCAAAATTTTAGTCCAGTAATCAAAATATGGCTTCTCATTGAAGTAGAATTGTTTTGCGCATGATAGTATTTATCTTATAATGATAAGAACTACTGCCATCTGCAAACTTTTCTTGTTTGATATTGAGATACATCTTCGTTGTAATTTTATGGCTGCCTGACGATTGAATGGTGCTATTTCTTTCCTAGTTGTATATCGGATGCAGCAAACACTGGGATGTCCACCATGATTTCTATTGAAGGTAGTGAGGCGATGACTACTGATAAAACAGTCAAGAGCGGTGTCATCTCAACTTCAGCTTATGGAAAGAACAAGTCTGTGCGGTTTGAATGTGAATCTTATGCTTCTTCTTCTAAAATTGAAAATATTGGTCAAAATCCAGAGAAACTTGAACCACTAGGCTATCTAAGTGCATCAAAATACTCACCAAACCCAACCCCGTCAAAGCTTTCTGATGAAATGCAAACCCCAGGAACTGTTTTTCCCTCAAACTTGGAAAAATTGGCAAATGGGAATACTAGGATCCGATCTGAATATGTTCATTCGGTTTTGAATCCGGTTGGGAATGCCTCTCTGTTGAATGCAATGAAGGAAGAGCCATTTAGTTCCAAAGAGATGTTTGATGAGCTGAAAGAATCCCCTGAACGATTAGAAAATGCCATCCCAAAGCTAGAAGTGGGAGTGAAACAAACTTCACTTTTGAAAGATTCAGAGGATGAAGGAGGCTTGTCTTCTTGGCTGAAGCCGAAACAGAATGCCATTGATGGTCCTAACAAGAATCTTCATGTCACATTCAGCAAAACCCCTCATATTAGTAAAACCCCAGGGGATAGACCCATCATTGGTTTGGTGGCTGCTCACTGGAAAGAAGATGAATCTTCCCGCATCTCACCCAAGTGGTGGGATGGCAATGGAATCCCAAATTCAACTACTAAATACAAGGAGGTAAATCTTTTTATTTCCTGGCTGCTATTTCTACCTGAAGTATGGAGTATGGGCCTTTGCTTGATGGATCCTTGTCCTTTTTGCAGGATCAGAAAGTGGCTTGGCATGCAACCCCATTTGAAGAAAGGCTGGAAAAGGCTTTGTCAGACGAGAGTCTCATCTCTCAGAGGTATGTGTACTCTTTGCTTGCTATATTCATTGCCTATGATGGTTATTTTAGCATAGATTTTATGCACTTGAAATATTTAAGGATCTTTCCAGTCATACTTTCTGTAACTAAACCAATTATCAGCTTTCTCTAGTTTTCTACTTTCCTAAATATCTTGGGGGGGGGTGGCAAATTGATTTTAGTAAATGTAAAGGAGATTCATATTATGTAAACGAGGTCTCATGCGAGAAGCTAAATAACTGGTAATCTGATCCTCTAATTTCTGTTTAAACATTATATGAAAATAATTCTGATTGCTAGTTTTAATTACAGGAAGCATGTTGAACAACCACTGATGTGGCTTGATGTGGTTGATGAAGGGGACGCAGCTCAGTCTCAGCTGCGACCAGCTTCACATTCCAAGTCAGTCGTTTCATTCTGACTGTAGCTATCTTGCTTTTCCTTAAAATCTCAGGTTTACATTTGATGAAAACACAGATGTGTAAAATCAAGAAATATAATTGCATTTTGTTGAGAGCTTTTTCTCTGGGAATCATGTAGTGTTAATTGTAATTCGCATTCAGAGAGGAAATGTAACTTTTCATACCAAATATAGATCCTACAAACATTTAAGACCGTCCATTAATAGCCATGCTTTCTCGTATTAAAAATTTCAACCAATTCCAAAAATACAAGGTAAACTACACTAATGGTCGTTAATATCTAAGTAAATTTTTCATTTCGCTGTTAAAATTTAAAAGTTACATTATATTCATTAATGTTATTAATTTATAATAAAATAATCACTCTATTGTGATCACATTAAATTGATTATATGCCAATTTGTACTCATCTCTCCTCGGCTGGCAGCAGGAGGAACCCAAACAAATATGGTTGTAGACAAGGGTTTGCAACCAAAACCAAAAGAGCACCGCTACAAGGACCACATCACTAAGCTGCTCATGCCTCGATATTTGCAATCATGATTAACCGCAACGCAGCCTCGGTACTTGCAATCATGATTAACCGCAACGCAGCCTCGGTACTTGAACAGAATCATATCTATAAATGAAACGACTTGATTGGCTAAGTTGGCCGGTCACGCCCACTTTCCTCTCAACACACAATCCATGGCCATTGGCTGTCACCATCAATGCATTATTTCAATCCTCTTTCATAATATTTCCACCAGACAAGCTGTTGGTTTTTTTTAATTAATATTGTTTGTTATTAGATGGTGCCTTCAAAATCTCGACTAATTATGTGATTTAACTTAGATTATTTCAGCCATCAGATTTGAAATAACAGTGGACAGTGATAGATAGTTAACGGTCAATCCAACTGTTTGCTTTTGTGAAGAACGATAATATCGGTTGCTACATTGATTAGGTACAACTGAAAACGATATGACTGATTTTAAATCATTTTCACAGATTCCATTCACTAATAATGAATTTCCAAAACCAACACCACTAAGAAGATGAACATATAATCAATATAGATCTAAATTATATAAAAAAAATTAAATTTTTGAAGGAGAGGTCTCATGTGTTCCATTCCTGTTTGTCGGAGGAAATCATGCAAAGAATTGTTTGAGGCTTGGAACTAACTGATCGGAGATTATCTTATTTGTTCTTTGAGAGGGGTGAATGGAATCCCAGAACACATACTTGTTTGCATCTGGGCATGTTAGTGGAGTGTGCCGATTGCACAGTATCCCCGTTTCGAACAACCCTGTTCCGCAACACCCTTCTTCCACAACCTCAAATCCTGTCACTCAACCGAACATACCAGAAATTAACTGAAAATTGAAGTACATACATAATAATATTTTATTCGTTTAGATATATATTTAAAAACTTACCATACTGGGAGGGTTTTGTGATGAGCTGCGAAAGCAACTCATAAGCATCAGCGAAGAACACCTTCAAACCAGGAAGATCCCTGTTGAGCTTTGCCACCGTAGCTTTTAACTTGCCATTGAATTCCAAGGCTACTTAGTTGCGTTCCTCCAAGCAGTTAAGAGGATTGTGGAAGTTCGTCGTTCTCTGCACCGGTAAACAACCCATCGGCGGGTGTCCGGTCAGGGATAACTTCCAAGCTCCAAGGTTGTAAATCTGCCTAACGGAATTTTCAGCAATGCCGATGATGAAATCCTCGTATTGTTGAACGGTGAATTGGGACTTTCTTTTAGGAAGGGCGTAGTAATTCTCGACGAAATCGTTGGTTCCTATGCTGATAACATACAGTGCCTCGGAGATTACCTCATTCGCCGTCCGATCACCAAGATAAGCTCGGAGTTTCTTTTGATACTCCTTGTAGTATTCCACTTCTTTCCACAGAGGAATCACTTTCTGTCAAAATGGCCCAAAAAATCATTTACTTATGCTTAAGTTCAGCTTTCAATAATCGATAACTTTTGAAATGGTTAGTTCTATTACCAGTACATCAGCCGTGGCGTTGTCGTAGCCAGTTGCAGCAGAAGCAAAGCAAACTCCAGTGGCGAAGTCAGCGATGTTAAAGGCAGGATCCAAGTAGGCAGGAATAATAGGTTTCAACTCAAATCCCTCGGAAATAAAATCCGGAGGAAGTCGGCCGTTGCAGAATCGTCCAGTTGGGATGCCGCCGGGAAAATCACGGCCATAAGGCTCGAAATTGCACTTGGCGATTGTTGGGATGAAATTGTTGTTGCCCGAATCAACGGATGAATCTCCGAAGACAATGATAGCTGACATTTTAGCTTCGGATTTAGAAGCGATAGTAAAGATTTGAATGAAGAAAATCCAGGGAATGATCATGGATGCCATGCCAGTTCGATAATTCCAGTAAGCATGGACAAGCATTTATAGCCGATGTAACAAGGAACGATGAAATATGGCAACAATAAAAATAATACAAAATAAAAGGGTAAAGTATACAACTGGTCCTTTAATTATAAGGTGTTGTTTTGTTGATCCCATGTCTATTAAAAATTATAAAATGATTTTTCGACTATAGAACAATGTTTATTGAGTCTGTCGACTATTAAAAGTTACAAAATTATCATTTATCTATTTATATGTTCTAAACTCGTCATTTTCTGTTAAAAAATTAACATCTATATGAGCAGGAAGTTAACTTGCTGATTTGGATATGATTAAATCATATTTTAATGATGTTTATTGTCATTGTGGTTGCTTTAAAACACTGACTCAAAGACATAATATTTCAAGTATCAACTTGACGATATAATGTGAATAGAGAATTGATCCACAAAATACAATTTAAACAGTTATGAGATCATATTTTATCATATCTCAGTCAACAAGTTTATATCTGACTCAAATGATCGCTATTTTTTAACGAAAAATGACAAATTTGTAACATATAAATAGATTGATGACCATTTTATAACTTTTAATAATCGGAAGACTCAATAAAATAACATGTAATTAGGAGATCATTTGATAATTTTTAATAATCGATTTACTCAATCAGTGTCCTATAATCGGGTGATCATTTGTGTGCTTTATCCAAATAAAATAACAAAACAAAAATTTTGGTTGCTTAAAGGATCAAAATTGGCTATAAAAGAATGGGCGGGGGTTAACAGAGGCAGATCCTTGAAGTTGATTAATTACATGGAGGAGGAGATTACTAGGATTGAAGCTTGTATATAGAATGGGGTTCATGAAACAGAAGATTCCAAGACCCTTGCTGAGTTGAAATCGAGGCTTTGGAAAGAATATCGAAAAGAGGAAAGCACCTGGTTGCAGAAGTCAAGGTTAAGGTGGTTCCACGAGGGGGACAAGAGCACCCTGTTCTTTCATTTGACTGCCTCGGGGAGAAGGAGGTCGAACACCATTAGTCTTCTAAGACATGGGGATCGGGTGATTTCGAAACCTGCTTTGGTAATAGAACATGTCCATAATTATTTCTCCACAACATATAATTAAAGGCACTCGTTAGAGCTACAGGATATGAAGCTGGACTCTAAGAAAATTAGTGGGGATCAAGCTGATTTTCTTGTTAACAAATTCTAGGTGGAGGAGGTGTGGGCTGCCATTTCGACAGCAGACTGTAACCGGGCCCCGGGGTCGGATGTTTTTAGCCTGGGTTTTTTCCGAAGGTTTTGGCCTCAACTTAAAAATGACATTATGAGCTTCTTAGATGACTTCCACCGAGGGCGGAAATGGGAGACTGGAGTGAACCACTCGTTTATCACATTCATACACAAAGTTGCCAATCCTAGGCCCCTCGATGAATTTCGTCCTATAAGTCTGGTTGGGGGTTATACAAAGTACTATCCAAGGTGCTAACTAAGAGACTGAAGATGGTAATCGGGGGGCTAATTGGAGATTCGCAGTTTGCTTTCATAGCGGGGCGTCAGATTCTCAACTGCTCTCTTGTTGAATCAAAATAGAGTAAAAACTCTAATTGATCCAAAAAAAACTCTCTTTAGAATAATCTCACAAAATTGCAAAAGGGAAGAACTCTTAAGAAAGCTTTCAAATGCTTATAATTAAGCTTTGATTGTTGGATGATAAAACTCAAATACAAGTAGGGTATTTATAGGTTACAAGAAACAATCTAAACCACTCATTAAAATAAACACTAAATAATCTAAACCATTGAAATTAAAACATGAGAAAAATACTTAATTTTCACCTAACTAAATTGATGTAAGCAATGACATCAAAACTAAATTGATGTAAGCAATGACATCAAATTAATTTAGGTGTGAACATATAGGCTAATATTGAATTTTCAACACTCCCCCTCAATGTTAGCCTCCATTCTTTGAATCACGCCATGCTGACGATGGAAATGTTCAAACTTTCCAACACTCAAGCTTTTTGTAAACAAGTCAGCAATTTGCTCATCTGTCTTGATTTGCCTCATCTCAATCTCTTCTTGCAAAACTTTTTCCCTAACGAAGTGGTAATGTACTTCCACATGTTTAGTTCTTGCATGAAAGACAGGATTCTCCGCCAGCCGAATTGCCGATTGGTTGTCACAATACAACGGAATTACATAATCTACTGGTTGATGTAGATTATTCATCAACTGTATCAACCATGTACTCTCTTGAGCTGCCATTGCTGCTGCTCGATACTCAGCTTCAGTGGTTGACAATGATACCGTTGGTTGTCTTTTGCTACACCAAGAAATTGTTCCGGAGCCAAGCTTAAACACATACCCAGTTGTTGATCTCCTGGTGTCATGATCTCCTGCATAATCAGCATCACAATAACCAACTAACTTGCAGTCTTCACCTTTCTTGTACAAAAGACCATAGTCAATTGTATTCTTCACATATCTCAGTATTCGTCGAACTGCTTCCAAATGAGGCTTCTTTGGATTTTGCATATACCGACTCATCACACCAACTGCATAAGAAATGTCAGTCGGGTCAAGGTTAAGTAGATCAGACTACCTACCAATTGTCTATACATTGTTGCATCTTCCAAATCTTTTCCTTCATGTGCACACATTTTGATATTGGTTCCAT